ATATATATTCTATATATATATATATATATATATATATATATATAATATTATATATATATATATATAATATATTATATATATATATATATATATATATATATATATATATATATATATATATATATATATGACACAGTTATGCAGAGCATTTCAGACAGATCAAGTCAATTTTGTCCCAGGATGCGACCCACACTGGTCGACTAACACCCAGGTACCCATTTTATACTGATGGGTGAACATGGACAGCAGGTGTTTTATGGAAACATGTCTTAATGTTTTCCAGCCATACTGGGGACTCGAACTCCAGACCTCAGTATGTGAGCAGAGTATGCTAGCGATTGATCTACGAGACACCTTATTATAACAAGCGCAATTTAATTTAGCCTAATCTAACTAAATATATTTTAGATAAGTTTACAATTTAATAATAAACAATGAAATATATTTGTTTTTGTTAGGTTCAGAATGATTTTTGCAAAATTATTGCATACAGAGACTTTTGCTTGCCTTATTCAGCAAGAAGAGCATTGCTATTTAAACTAAAATTGCAAGTTTTACCTATTCACCACGACATGTATGTATGTGTGTGTGTGTGTGTGTGTGTGTGTGTGTGTGTGTGTGTATATATATATATATATATATATATATATATATATATATATAAATATATAAATATAAACTATATATATTACATATGGTTGCATATTTGATTAAGCTGTGTCCAGGTTTGTCTTTGATTTCTGAGGTCACACATTCCAGTGTTCATCACATGTTCTTTTGAGTAGACATGACAAGGCAAGTCATAGTAAGTGAATCCTGTGTCTGATATATACTACATCCTGTACCGCCTGATCTTTTCTTTTACTTGACCCTTCAGGTTTAGTGTTTCACTTGATTATACTATTATTGTTATTAAACTTCTGCCTCTGGTCCTCTGCTAATATTGATGAGTTAGAAGTGTATAGGAAAACTTGTGACTGTGTTATCATTGTTTGTTATCCTGCATGCATACAATATAGTGTATTTACAGTATATATGCACAAGTACACAGACACAAACACACTGTATATAATTCAGTTATATATTTATTTAATCTGTATGGTGCAATATTTTGTGTAACCTTAAAATAGGTTACAATAAAAAAATCTGAGGAGATTTATCCTTAGTAGTAGCCATGTAGCTATTCTAGACAAAATCCAGGACACATGTTAGTGAGTAGATGGCTAATTCTCAAACAGCACACCTGCTGGCTGTCGTTGTTGATAGGCTTTTCTTTGGGAACCCTAGCACTTTAGCACATGTAGTATGTGTCAGGCTATCTTATGTACACTGTATAGAAGCATGTTGCCTGACAAATGTGCTGAAGCAGAAGTATGCTTTCTTTTCTCTTTTATTTTAAATTTTACACATTTTTGTAATATATAAATTAAGTTTTAAAACAACCAAAGAATAAAGTTTCTGGTTTTTGTTTTTGCATAATACATAATATAATTTTTTACAGTAGACATTTAATTTTTTTTATTAATTTTTTTAATAGTTTTTGTATGACTGAAAATTAGTTTACACATTTATGTTCAGTGCTCAGTGCTACACAGCTTACTCTGAAATAGTGAATCTTAGTATTTATATGTATTTTAATTTGAACTCATTTAAACAGAATTATGATATTTCTACTTTAAAGTTATTTGTTTACTGTGTATGTATGTATATGTGTGTGTAAATAAATAAATAAAAAATTATATAATATATATACATATATGTGTGTGTAAATAAATAAATAAAAAATTATATAATATATATACATATATACATATATATATGTGTGTGTGTGTGTATTTGTGTGTGTACTCACCTCTGCGTGATATGTGGTTGCAGGGGTCGCGTCACAGCTCCTGGCGCCACCTCCTCACTGGAGTTCGTGTGAGTGTGCATGTGCGTGTGTGTGTGTGTGTGTGTGTGTGTGTGTGTGTGTGTGTGTGTGTGTGTGTGGTGTGTGTGTGTGTGTGTGTGTGTGTGTGTGTGTGTGTGCATGTGCATATGTATGTATATACAGCCTCTCCTCACTTAACGACGGAGTTCCATTCCTAAGACCACGTCATTAAACGAATTCATCGCTAAGTGAGGAGTATACTGCAATGGTTGTGAGTTTGTGTCAATCATCTCTGATATTGTTTTAATGTCATCTTTGCACCATTTATAACATTTCTTATATATTTTTAAATGTTTATACAGTAGTGTACTGTATATTGAAATAAACAGAATAGAGGAAATCAGCTCTAATATACATTATTTAGGTATGAATACTGGTCAGAGAGCCCATCATAAGTCCGAGGCGTCGGTAAATGAGTATGTTGCTAAGTGAGGAGAGGCTGTATTTATATATTATGTATAATATGAGTAAGCCCTTCATATATCAAATAGGGAAGAATTGTCTGAGAAACTGTTAAATCAGAATAATGTTAAAAAATAGCATACAATATGGTACACTTTGGAATACTTAAGTACATGTATTCCAAAATACACTATATTGTATGCAAAGTTTACACATATACTGCAATAAATGTTGAAAAAATGAGTTAAATACAGTTTACCCAGTAGACTTTCCCCATTATTTTAAGTCTGTTATGTCAAGGGTTTGCTCTCTCTCACATGCACACACACACACGCTCAGCCCCTACAACCACATTTAGGCGAGTACAATTAGGTGAGTATGTGAATGCAAACACACACACACATATACAGTGGAACCTCCACTAACGAGTTTAATCCATTCCATGACCTTGCTTGCATCTGGATTTGCTCATTTGCTGAGTCAGTTTTCCCTCATTTAAATTAATTGAAATGAAATCAATTCATTCCAGTGGAATTCCAGGCATCATAAAATACTT